GGAAATCTGTAACAACCACAAAGCACACTCACTCCTTCCTCGGGCATAGGCACACACAGACCCACCCATGTGTGCACAGGCCCATACATCCACACGTGCCCCCAGGCACCCGTGCATGACTTCACATGCACAGCCCCACATGCAAGCACACCTCCATGCAACTTTCCCCAGCAACACGTACCTCTTCCCACAAGCACATCTTCCACATATGCACGCCCCCCTCCCCGCACTCATCCCTGCAGATTGAATAGCACACATGATTCAGAATGTCTGTGAAGCCATTTCCAACCTGTTTTTGTAATGCTTGTGCTTCTCAGTCCAAAAGTTAGTGGAACTTATGTTTCCCGGAAATTACAAAACAGGAATTTCTCATTCTCTTAGCAGCATCCCCACCCTGCTGTACTCCTGTTAGTCAGTGTTGCAAATAGCAGCAGCACATGACAAACTGGCTGCCTCTCCTCCCCACCCAATCCCTACTTTGCTTGTTTGTGATTGAAGAACAACAGAGTGGATCTCTTGCTCGGGCTGACCAATGAGTGAGCAAAAGTGTCATGCAAGGAGACAGCCTTCTAAGTCTGTGGAAATTATTAAAACAATCCAACACAGAGACCTGTGCAACTTTCCGTTTCTAGGATGACAGGTGTGTCACCTTGCCTTCAAAGGGACAACCCTGGCTCACTTCATTGGCTCCGTTCTCAAGGTCTGATATAAGACCCAAAGAGGTCTATGCATCATGTGGCAAGAAAGTGGCATCCTCACAATCTGGAACCTGCCTCTGGTGAAAAGTGGTGTTTAGGGAACAGATGGTTGATCTTTTTACCTTGGCTGCTCACCACTCTTTAAGAGGAACATCTCCCCCAGATCAATCTGCAAATCAAATGCGGGGTGTCAGTGGTTCTAAACTATTGTGTTGTTTTGTTTCATTAATGCTGATTTCTAGCCCTTATCTGAGACCTACTCCGTGAGACTCTCTGGAGTCTCTACAAACCATAATTTGGTTAAAGTCACCTGGGAAATGGAGGGGAAGCCAGGTTTGGGAATCACTGGCCAATACGGCGATGCCTGTCCAGAGCCCGGACTTCAGAACCCAGTGATGTCAACCACGCTCATTCCACCCATCGTGCCTCGAGATGTGGGCTCCCCATGCAGAGGAGGCCTCTGTGCATGGTGGCCAGAGAGCACACCATCCTTCTTTGTGAGTTCTGGCCCAGCCCCCCAGGCAGTCAAGGGCTAAAGGGAGAGGTGGGTGGGAGCTCCCTTGAGCAGAGGGGCCTTTGTAGGGTGGTGGAGGCTCAAGAGGGAATTTCCTGCCCTGTCCTGGAGCTTGGGCCCCCAGTCCTGCCTGAAGTCCCAGGACCCACAGAGACAGCTTCCCTAGACCTTGGAGACGAATCCCAGTAATAACGGGGGCAGGATGGGGTGCTAATTACCAAAGGACACTCACTCCCTGTAGAGTTTTTCTCTTTCCTTACACAACTGATGAAAGTAAACACCCCCACGGGGCATTTAAATAATGCCCAAGCCAGAATGCGTTAATAACCAGCAGAGTGGATGTGCGCCAGCTTTCCATTTTCAGCACATACTCGACTGTGGGGAAAAGATGCTAGTAGCTACCTGAGGGCCTTGGCAGTGGAGGCCTGGTAGGTGAGTGAATCTGTCACAGTGAAATAATAAACTTGGTACCCCCAAAGACCACAGCCTCCCTTAATTGTTTAGTATACAAACCCTCCTGATTTTTTGTAAGAATTCCACTTGCTCTCTAGTTCCGCTGAATACATTTCCCATAAGGTAGTGGTTAAGACTAGAGTGAGAGAGACCTGCTTTTAATGTATGACCCTGAGTAAGTGAGCCCATCTTTCTTAGACTTAATTTTAGCTTCTGTCAAATGGCTGTACTTACTTCACAGAATTGTTTAAAAAATTAAGATCGTGAATATAAAGCATCGGTAAATATCAGCAAAAAATATTAGTAAATTACTAATTGGTAAACTACTAAGTTAACTGAAGCCAGAGAAAAGGGAATTCCTTAGTTCCATAAGAAATATGTATGGTAGATGTTTTGAGCAGGTTAATTTGTAGTGAAATTTTTGGGCCAGGTGACATTTTTATATGTATAATTTTTTTCCTTTTTTTTTTAATTGCATTTTAGGTTTTGGGGTACATGTGAAGAACATGCAAGATTGTTGCATAGGTACACACATGGCAGTGTGGTTTGCTGCCTTCCTTCCCCTCACCTGTATCTGTCATTTCTCCCCCTGCTATCTCTTCCCACCTCCCCACCCCCGTCCCTCCTCCATTTCCCCCCAACGGACCCCAGTGTGTAGTGCTCCCCTCCCTGTGTCCATGTGTTCTCATTGTTCAACACCCACCTATGAGTGAGAACATGTGGTGTTTGATTTTCTGCTCTTGTGTCAGTTTGCTGAGAATGATGGTTTCCAGGTTCATCCATGTCCCGACAAAGGACACTAACTCATCGTTTTTGATGGCTGCATAATATTCCATGGTGTATATGTACCACATTTTCCCTATCCAGTCTATCATCGATGGGCATTTGGGTTGGTTCCAGTCTTTGCTATTGTAAACAGTGCTGCAATGAACATTCGTGTGCATGTGTCCTTATAGTAGAATGATTTATAATCCTTTGGATATATACCCAGTAATGGGATTGCTGGGTCAAATGGGATTTCTATTTTTAGGTCATTGAGGAATCGCCACACTGTCTTCCACAATGGTTGAATTAATGTACACTCCCACCAACAGTGTAAAAGTGTTCCTATTTCTCCACATCCTCTCCAGCATCTGTTGTTTCCAGATTTTTTAATGATCGCCATTCTAACTGGTGTGAGATGGTATCTCAATGTGGTTTTGATTTGCATTTCTCTAATGACCAGTGATGATGAGCATTTTTTCATATATTTGTTGACCTCCTGTATATCTTTTGTAAAGTGTCTGTTCATATCCTTCGCCCATTTTTGAATGGGCTTGTTTGTTTTTTTCTTGTAGATCTGTTTTAGTTCTTTGTAAATTCTGGATATCAGCCCCTTGTCAGATGGGTAGGCTGCAAAAATTTTTTCCCATTCTGTTGGTTGCCGATTCACTCTACTGACTGTTTCTTTTGCCGTGCAGAAGCTGTGGAGTTTGATTAGGTCCCATAATGGCAACAAAAGCCAAAATAGACAAATGGGTTAAACATCTTTTCATGTATTTAAGGATATTGTATCTTTTACCCAACTTGCTATTGAGTACATGCTTTTTCAAAACTTTCCTGTGAATTGCATTTTCCCTTCAATTTGTCAGGCAGAAGCTAGAAGTTATACATTTGCTTAACACTCATCTTACCCCTTGATTTTTTCATCATAAACTTATCTACAGTAATTTTAGTTCTTGATATGGCAATGTTCACAGTGAAACTTTAATCCAGCTGTACATTTATAACCTGTACACTTTTAAAAGGCCATTTTTAAAAGTTTTAATTGATCAAATTCTGTACCAAAGTATCACTGTCCTGCTTGTCTAATGCAAAACCTAATGATTCCCAAAATCATTCCCAGGCAGCCCTGATATGAGATTAAAAGAAAACAGTGACCCCCTGAAGAAGGGGTTCTGGGAGCACATACTTGAAGGGTAATCCCACAACAACACAACACAACACACACAGACACACACAGACACACACAGACACACACACACACACACACACACACACACAGCCATCCTACCCCCTCTCCCACCATGGTGCCCAGTCCCACCAGCTTCCAAGACCTTGCCAAAAATTGCCAGGCTGAGATAGATCTTCCCAACTTACCAACTAGCAGAAGTTATTTATCCAGTGGATAGCCATAGAATCCCTGGTTTTAAAATTTTGCTTGCAATCTCTTCTTTGCCCCCAACAAGCGACGCCCCTTGATTCAAGCCTCATCTTCTCCATGACTTGCAGGAGCAGTAGGAGGAAATAGGTAATTAAGTCATTAAATGTTACGACCTACGAAGAGAAAGGCTCCGATGGCCTTGGATTTTCTTACCCTTCTCAACACCCTGCCCCTGGACAGCTGTGATGGGTCGAGGTGCCTTGTCTCCTCCCTTCAGCCTCCAGAATCTCTTTGGTGTGGGGGAGATTGATAATCCAAATAAAACTGCCATGGGAGGGTGAATGGACGAATTTTTAAAAGTTACTTGTCTCTTTGCTGCATTTCTCAGGACAGCCCAGGCAGGAGGGAGAATTAGTGCCACCTGGAGAGCTGTCATGCTGCTGGCCTGAGGAGGGCCCAGCCTCTCACGTGGAATGGCCCCCAGCAGCCTGGGGGGTCCCCGAGTGGACGAGCTGGGGAGAAGGTGTGGGGCAGATGGTGACGGTAGCTGTTGGGAAGGAAGGCTAAACAGTGTGGGCAGAAGTCAAAGATAAACTTCCATCCTTCTCGCCGGGCGCGGTGGCTCAAGCCTGTAATCCCAGCACTTTGGGAGGCCGAGGCTGGTGGATCACGAGGTCGAGAGATCGAGACCATCCGGGTCAACAAGGTGAAACCCTGTCTCTACTAAAAATACAAAAAATTAGCTGGGCATGGTGGCGCGTGCCTGTAATCCCAGCTACTCAGGAGGCTGAGGCAGGAGAATTGCTTGAACCCAGGAGGCGGAGGTTGCGGTGAGCCGAGATCGCGCCATTGCACTCCAGCCTGGGTAACAAGAGCGAAACTCTGTCTCGAAAAGAAAAAAAAAAAAAAAAAAAAACTTCCATCCTTCTTTCTTTCCCCACGTAACAGCCAAAAGATGCTGGTTATTTCAAGGAGTTTCCAAGAATGGCATTTGATGTATATCACGACCTTCCCAGGGAAGCTGGGGACGAGGTATCAGAGTTTCCTCTCCTCTCCCCAGCAGAGACACCCCAGCACACATACAGGCCCCACCTGAAGTCACCATAAACACACACACACACACACACACACACACACACACACACACACACACACTTTCTTTCTCACTAAGAAAGAAGTTCGGAGTAGAAGCCATTCCACTTGCAAGAACTAATGTCCTAGATCCAGCGCTGTCTGAGGATCACTGGCTGTTAGTCCGACCCCAGTCTCTGATGGTGTGCTGGATTTCCCACGCTTGCGTGGTACAGGTGTGGACCACAAGCACATGGCTACCCGAAGGGTCCTTCTTCATCTCCAGACACCGCTTGGTATCCCTGTTCATGACAGCTCCTCCCTGGAGGGGAAGCGAGACAGAGCCAAGGTGCTGAAATGCCTCAGTAATTCATCATGGTTAGGGGCCCCTCAGGGCTCCGCATGTCACGCAGGGAAGAAAAGGAAGCAGAATATAGGATGAGATCACTCAGTGCTCCCTCTACCAGCCTCATGGCAAACTGACCAACCAGGCGATGTCGCACTAGCTTCGTGTGATGTGCTCAGCCTCTCCTGAGATGGAAGCGTTGGGTCGGTACTGACTACCATGAAGTGACGGCCTCTGTGAGCACCGTGGGCCTTCTCAACTTGGCCTCCTTTCCACATCCTCACCCCTGAGCCCGTGAGACCCATCAGGGTCACCTTCACCTTGTGCTTCTCTCCCTCCTGAGGGGAAACTATGCTGTGCACCTGGAGCAGGAGCCACATTCAGGAATCTCAGCCTCTGAGGAAGCTTCCTGCCTTTCCTGTTGAGGAGGTGTCACCAAGGTTTATGACTGAGAACAGGATAGGCTTTAGTGCTAAAAAGTCAGGGTTGAATCCTTGCTGTACCACATACAAACCGTGGGGGTCTGGATAAATAACCTAATCTCTCCAAGTCTCAATGTATTCATCTATAAAATGGGTTCAGAGTTAATATTAAAGTTAAAATTAGAGTTAATGTTCATGGAGCATCTTGGGCCTGACACATGAAATGGGCAACAAATCCTAGTTCATCTCTGCCACTCCCCATCCTAACAGGGGAAGAGAAAGGAAGGGCCATCCTTCTCTTAGATCCTATGTGATCCCCAGGATCTCCCTGAGCTTCTTCCCCCTTATCTTCATATCTCAGCAACTGACGATCCTGCCATCTGTCCAAACCACCATCTCTCCTGGTCCTGCCCTCTGCTCCCAGCCCTCTCTCTCCACATCCCTCTCAACCTCTTTGCAGGACTCACATGAGCTGCATTAGTGCCTGGGTCAGGCTGTATCTTCGTTATTCCCTGCATTCTGCTATCATCCTCAGGGTTCATAACATTCATTCAGATGGCGAGTGAGAAACCCTGACCTGACTGTTCCCCTTCAGACAAACTGCCACCAAGTTCTTGAACACCAAGTGGGACTGACTGCAGCTGTAACCTCTCCAAATTTCTGCTTCCTCTCTCACCATCACCTCCCTGCCGCTCATCTCTTCAAATCGCAAAGTGCCTCCAACAGCCCTTGCTCCCCCCAAATTTTCCTGTTATTGGACTCCCCCCGGCCCCAACCACCCTTGCCTCCTCTGGGCACCCATCCAGCATCGGCCATTCAGGGTAGCTCTTCAGATTCTGGAACTTCTCCTCCACCACCGCCACCACTGCTCTCTCTTGGCCCCTGCTTCCAGACCACAGAGCTCTCGTGGATGGGGTCTGCCGGCTGAGCAGGCCTGGCTCGTAAACCTGCCACGGCAGCCTGGCCCCAGGGCTCAGCCTGCTCCTCAGGGATCCTCGTCCAGGCCTCCTCAGCATGCTTTGTCTGTCAGCCCCCACCCCGACCCTCACTTTAACAAAATGTCAAGAACACCACACTTCTGCCACCTTAATCTTTATCTGTTGGTCTCAGTTCTGCCCTCCTGCGACACTAAACTCTACTCTAGGCATCCCCAAACTACAGCCCACGGGCCGCATGCGGCCCCCTGAGGCCATTTATCCGGCCCCCCGCCGCACTTCAGGAAGGGGCACCTCTTTCATTGGTGGTCAGTGAGAGGAGCACAGTATGTGGCGGCCCTCCAACGGTCTGAGGGACAGTGAACTGGTCCCCTGTGTAAAAACTTTGGGGACGCCTGCTCTACTCCTTCTTCCTCAGGAAGACAGCATCATCTTTTCTCTATCCACAGGCCTAACAAGGCTTTCAAGCTATATCTCCGGGCCTGCCAATCTTTCATTTGCTCTGCAACCATTTGTCAGTGGCTGCCATGTTCTAGGGGTTGTGCCAGATGCTAGAGGAAAAATAGCAAACCCCAGGCCCTGCCCTCCAGCTCACAGCCAAATGATGACAAAAGGCACGTGAGCTGACAATGGCAAGAGACGGTGAGACCAGGGCCGTAAAAGGGCCCTCAGAGCACATAGAGGAGCCACCTGCCTGACTCCTCTGGGGTCACAGAAGGCTTCCCAAGGGAGACGATGTCTAAGGCCAGGTGGAGAACTGGGAAGAGAGGGAATAATACCTGCGAAAAGGTCTAAGTTAAGAGGGAGCCTGGACTTTCACTGAATTACCTACAGTTCCATGTAAGTGGAGCTTAAAGTGAGACTTCAGAGACTGAGAAGACGTTACCCGCCTTCTTCTAATCAATATTGTCTAGTTCAGGAAAGCTTAATCTGGGACGCAAAAAACAAAACAAAACAAGACAAAACAAAAAAAAACTCTGAAACTGTAAGCAAATCTTGCACATAGGTTCATATGCAGGTTTTCCTGGAGAGAGAGTCCATAGCTCACAACGAATTCTCAAAGGGGGTGTTAGCTTTGAAAAGTTAGAGACTGCTGAACTAGATTGCCCATGTGGCACTTGAACAAAGCACAGTCCCGCATTCAGAGACACGGTCACAGACAGACCAGTAGCTCCCTCCGGGAGGTACTGCCCCTTCCTACTGAATTGGCCCAAGAATGTAGAAGCTTTTGGAGCAACCCCATCCCTTGTCAGTTCCCCATAGATTGCAGTCAGCCGAGACCCTTGCGTCATCGTCATGTACATCTGCCAGATTCCTTCCACCCTGTCCTTGGTCATTTCATGTTGAAGTTAAAGGCAGAGCTCCCTCATTAGCCCCTGTCAGATTTCAGCCTAGTGTTCCACATCTTCTGATAATTATTAATAATAAGTAGATCGCAATGGCTAATGCATATTGAACACTCTGCTCCAGGCAGCACGCTAAATATTTTACACAGGCTATTTCATTTAATCCTCTCAACACTGGCCTACAGAAGATATTCTCATCTCCATCATTTTATAATGAGGAAACTGAGCTTCAGAGGATCTTGCTAGGTGACTGGGCTAGGACGTGGGCCCAAACTCTCAACTGTTCCACTACAACAGATTCCAATATTTCTTCTCTTTAACCACCCCTGCCTTAGTCAAGTGACTCAGCGTTTCACACCCAGTTTCCTGTTTCCAATCTTTTCCCTACATGTTGCCACAAGAAGTAACTCTCCTAAAACACTATCAAATCAAATCTGAACCTCTCATATATCTGTCCTTTAAAAAACATATAACTTGTTGGACTCACGCCTGTAATCCCAGCACTTTGGGAGGCCGAGGCAGGGGGGTCATGAGGTCAGGAGTTCAAGACCAGCCTGGCCAACATGGTGAAACCCAGTTGCTACTAAACATACAAACATGTGGTGCCATGTGCCTGTAGTCCCAGCTACTCGGCAGGCCGAGGCAGGAGAACTGCTTAAACCGGGACCGGGGAGGCAGAGGTTGCAGTGAGCCATTGCACTCCAGCGTGGGCTACAAATCGAGACTCCATCTCAAAAAAAGAAAGAAAGAAAAAAAAATCCATGTAACTCACCTGTTTAAAATCCCAATATATGTGCAGTCCATTCGTAGCTGCCTTGGAGCACGGTTCTAAGGTGGGCTTCTCCTCTGCCTTGCCAGGGTCTGTCAGGCAGCGATCACTATCCCTGGCCTCTGCAATCAGTTGTCCCACATAGAGCTCCCCAGTCAGGTGATAGTAGACGTACTAAGAGAGAGCAGAGGACTCACCATTGGTGCCATCAGCCAGTAGGAGACCCTAGCCAGAGGGAGGGCAGGAAGACTGATCTTGGAGCCCCTAGACACCCAGTTTCACCAGGAGCACTGAACCTTCCTGGACAACACGAAGCCACCTCTGCTTCCCTCTACTCCTTAGTCTCCCCTTGAACCCAGGGAGAAGGCCGGGCCTCGGAGGGCTCCAGCGGAATCATAGCTTACATGGATGAAGAAGCTTGTCTCTGAAGAAAAAACAAAACTGAACTCCAGAACCTGTCACCGTAGGCCCCAGCTATGGATTTGTTGTCAGAAAACCTTCTTTCGCATTCCTGATTTGACACGACCTTGCTCAGTGAGCTTGGACAAGTAGTTTGGTCACGTGTCTCCATTTCTTCATCTAAGTGGAAGTGGTATCTATCGCGCATGCCTCAAAAGGCTGCTGTGTGGGCAGCATGCAAAGTAAGAGGACAGATGTGAATATTGTCTGTTTAAAAAAAAGTCCGCTGGCCACACCTTCCACATGGTGCCAGGGCCCTTCCATCCCTTGGAGGAACATCTGCTCAGCCTCTCTCCTCTCTAGCTCTGTTTCCCTCTCTCTAGAAGCACAGGTGGCTTCACCTGTCCACATTCCCAGGCATTCAAGGAGCAGAGAGAAGACGGAGGGAGCAGTGGGAGGAGGGGAAAAAGGAAGGGACCAGAGGTGACTGTCAATGCAAATATCACCATGGAGCATGAATGTGACAGAGCATAGCCTTTCCACCTATCCTCCTGTAACTGAAATGCAACTAACTACGTTGCCATGGCTTTCTGAAGAAATTAAGATGGGCTCAGTTACAAGCGTGGGTCTGGGGTTCACCCTTACCCAGGATGCTTTGCTCCTGACTCCCCATCACCTATCACGGAGTCCAGACCCTGCAAAGGTTATCAGGGGCTGAGCCACGACAGACTCGCCCAGCCAGGGCCAAGAAGACTGGGGAAGTTACCTGTGAACTGAGTCCATGGCAGTTATACATGATGGGGGTGTTGCCTGAAATGGCTCCCTGATCGAGGCAGACATTTTCATCCAATAGGTTTTTCATCTGAAGGGCGAAACACATGGCGACACTGTTAGAAAGAGGCAGAGAATGAGCCCCCTCCCTCCCCAACATGTTGAGGGCACCAGAACGACCAGCCGCAGGGAGCAGAGAGCTGGGATCCCGGCAGGCATTTTCGAAGCACGGGGAAACAGGCCAGTGCTGAAGGCAGGTGCAGTGGCACTGGCCACATTCTGGAAACACCCACCACCTCAGACAGTCACCACACACACAGGGACGGGCGCCTCTGCGGAGTTCAGGTGGGCAAGGCCAATCGCTGCAGTTGGTGGAGAAACTGAGAGGGTCCAGGCAAGAGCTACAGTTTTCAAGGGGACTAGAAGCAGAGACAAGGAAAAGAGATGGGCATCGGGGAGCAAGGAACGAAAGGAAACTGAGAGGGCTGAGGGCAGAGAGCTGAGGAGAAAGACAGATAGGAAGGGCGTGTTGGGCAGGACAGGCAATCACATGGTTCAGGCTGCATTTTCTTTGCAGTCGAACGCCTAAAATCCAAAATGCGATTTCATCATACGCACTGTTCCATAGCCTATGATGGTGTGTATTGGCTTCAAGAGTGGGTAAACATTTTTCAGGTACCAGTCAAAAGTTTTACACTTCAGTTTTCCCCGGAGTGCCATTCTGGAAGAAATGTCCCCAAAATCGATTCCGGAGTTCTGTCAATAAAACACCAAGTGTTTCTGTGCTTTGATTCATGAAAGCTCGTTAAAGCAAACTAAATATGGCCTGGGAAGAACTCTGTATTTCTATATTTGAGTCCTTGTGGATGAATGGCAACGTAACTTAATAGATACACAAGATCGAAAACCTAACTTAGGACCATGCGCCTGTAACAATAGCTGAGTCTTGTCCAATCCCAGCAGCCATACCTCAACCACTCACACACTGTCCAGTGTTCAAACTGTGTTCAAATAAGGCAGATGTGGAGCTGTAACCAATCCAGCTGTTTCTGTACTTCACTTCTGACATCTGTTTCTCACTTCCCTCTTTGTGTCTATAAATCTACCACATGGCTGCACTGGAATCTCTGAATCTGCTGTGATTCCGAGTGCGGCCCAATTTGCGACTCATTCATTGCTCAGTTAAACTCATTTAAATTTAATTTGGCTGAAGTTTTTCTTTTAACAGCTCCTTAACTCCACCAGTGAGTATGGGTCATGCATGATGGAACTGAATATTTTTCTTGTAGCCTGTGAAGTAACCTTGGTGTTTTCATATTTCCAGGGAAAGTGGAAAACCCTTAAACCCTAGAAAATTCTGCTTTTTCAAATTCTGCTTTTTTAAGGCCTGTATAGTGGGGCCGCTCACGTGTATTTCTCCTCATCAGCTAATGCAGACTGCTCCTGTTTGAGATGATATTTACATCAATAAATCCCCAAATCCTCCTCATGATGGCCAGAAAGGCTCTTGGGGCCAGGCACGGTGGCTCACGCCTGTAATCCCAGCACTTTGGGAGGCCGAGGTGGGTGGATTGCCTGAGCTTAAGAGTTAGAGACCAGCCTGGGCAACACAGTGAAATCTCGTCTCTACTAATAATACAAAAAAATTAGCTGGGCGTGGTGGTGCATGCCTGTAGTCCCAGCTACTCAGGAGGCTGAGGCAGGAGAATTGCTTGAACTTAGGAGGCGGAGATTGCAGTGAGCCAAGATCGCGCCACTGCACTACAGCCTTGGTGACAGTGCATGACTCTGTCTCAAGGCTCTTGGAAGGAATACTCTAATACCAACATTTGGAGATTAAAAGAGACGTTTTTAGAAGCGATATTTTGTGGAGAATCAATGTAAAATAATACTGAAGAGGCGAATTAGAAGAGGAACGCAGAACCCACTGTGTACCTGTCCTCCTCCCAGAATTTTCTGTGGGCCTCATTTGAGATCTTCCCCTTGAAAGTTCAGATGATCCTTAGATGGTTCAGTTGTTTTACAGACTATTCTTTGTACAGGTTGGGACAGTCACAAATGACTCCCTAGAAATAAAAAAAACTAAGGATGTCCTGGAGGGTACTTGTTTTCCTATCATACGTTGGTATACTGGGACATCAGAATCAATTCTTACCCATCTTTCTTCAAACAATGAGCTAACTATAAGAAGTTATGGGCAGCTTGGATTATGAAAGGAAGGATTTTGCTGACTATTAAGAAGGCTCAGGCATTTCTGCACGTTTTTACATTCTCCAGACCTAGAGATCCCAGTGTTAGCCTGGCTCCTGACCCTAGGAGTCCTTCCAGACTTCTCTTCTAGGTCCATCCATGGCTATCCACCGTCCTGACCCCCTGGCTTTCTGGGGGCTACATCAGAACCCATGTGATAGAGGGATGAGTTTGTCAATGAGATGACTGCTTCCTGTGGGTCAGCATGGCTCTACATGCTCTAGCCCAGAGCCAGAGCTCAGGGACACGAGACAGCACCGCATGCCAGCCTTAAGCAGCCAGGGTATAAGATGTGGGCTTAGCGAAGAAGGCCATCGTTGGCTGGGTGCAGGGGCTAACACTTTTCATCTCAACAATTTGGGAGGCCAGGAGTTCCAGACCAGCCTGGGCAACATGGCATGACCCTGTCTCTACCAAAAAAAAAACTTTAAAAAGAATGCTATCCTCATTCTTGTTCGTCCAACAAGATTACAGAGCCTTCTTCTACCACCCCACACCACACCTGCCATGTTTATGTCTCCCATTATAGAAGAGAGACGAAGAACATGGAACTTAGAAGCCAGATTTCCTTGGTTTGAATCTTACTACCTGCATTACCATAAACAAGTTTCTTTCAACTCTACGTGCCTCAGTTTCCTCATCTGTAAAACTTAGAATAATAAAAATAAAACCTATCCATCCCCTATATATGTTGTGATGGCTAATAAGTTAATATATAAAAGGGTCCAGAATGCAGTACTGTACTGTTACATAGATGGTAAAGCCATTATTATCACACCATCAGGACCTTACCCTAATTCTTCTTTTTTTTTTTTTTTTTTTTTGAGACAGAGTTTTGTTCTTGTTATCCAGGCTGGAGTGCAATGGCACAATCTCAGCTCACTGCAACCTCCACCTCCTGGGTTCAAGCAATTCTCCTGCCTCAGCCTCCCGAGTAGCTGGGGCTACAGGCACGCGCCACCATGCCCAGCTAATTTTTTTTTTTTTTTCAGTAGAGACGGGATTTCACTTTGTTGACCAGGATGGCCTCAATCTCTTGACCTGGTAATCCACCCACCGTGGGCTCCCAAAGTGCTAGGATTATAGGTGTGAGCCACCGTGCCCGGCCCTTACTCTAATTCTTTAGGGCTGTGTTGGTACTTCTGTTTATCTCTCCCCATTACATAACCGCCATCTCCTCCTCTTTCATTCTTCCATGCTGCCCTTCAATTCCATTACTCACCTGGAGAGGTATGTTCCAGGCCAAGTAGACCATGTGTTTGTGCTCATCCATCCAGATTTCGGCCACTCGCAGAGCATTGCGCTTTAAGGCAGGGGTCAGATCCAAGGCATAGGGCTTGTGGTGTCTCTCTAGGTGACCAATCCGGGAGCAGGGCAAAACCTCGATCTTCCCTCCACACTGCCACACCTGCAGAAAAAGACAAAGAAGATCACCTGTGCTTCACAGTCAGTGAATTGCATAGCTTACTGACACAGGAGACTACATTTTAGAACTATTTTTAAAGAATGTATATTCAGTCCTCCCACTCCTGTCTTTATATTGCCTCCTATCCTTCTTAACTAAATCATCATTCCTTAGAAGTTTACCAAACTGCTTCTCTCCTGTCATCCAAACAACTGCTGAAATCATACTTCTTTCAGGAAGTCTTCCTAAATGGACCAAAGGAGGAGTAGCCTCTGCTCCCTTATCTCCAAGGAAAGTGCCCATGTCCTGAGAGGTGCCGTGCCCTGAGCCACTGTCACTGCACTAAGTTTCTCATGCTCCTTCTCTGCCTGCACGCTAGACATACAGCAGTGTGGCATACAGACGCCAAAGTAACCCCGTGATGCTTTGCCTCTAGCTTCCAGGTGTGCAATGGTGGAATAGGTTGAGCCTCAATTTATTCATCTGCTAAAAGGGCACAGCCACCATTTGGGTTGTCAGCAGGATTAGATGACATAACAAGGAATCAGTTATGGCAGTCTCTGAGATAACTTGAGGTACAGCTTCTCTTCCATTCTCCTTCTCTGGCTCTCCTCATTGGTCCCCAGAATCAAGTGAAGGTTACATCCCGCTTACACTCATATATTATTATTCTTTCTAGCCAAACATTCAAAAATCCAAATACAACCTTACTCCAATTTTACTAGTTGATGAAGGTTTTCAACTCATATAAATTAGGGGCAAAAAATTAACTGTTGGCATAAAAAAAAATCTTCAAGTTAAAAGTCAAGATTGCCTAGGCTGGGCTTGGTGGCTCATGCCTGTAATCCCAGCACTTTAGGGGGCTGAGGCGGGCAGATCACTTGAGGTCAGGAGTTTGAGACCAGCCTGACCAACACAGTGAAACACCGTCTCTACTAAAAATACAAAAATTAGCCAGGTGTGGTGGTGTGCACCTGTAATCCCAGATACTCAGGAGGCTGAGGCAGGAGAATCACTTGAACCTGGGAGGCAGAAGTTGCAATGAGCCTAGATCACACCACTGCACTCCAGCCTGGGGAACAGAGTGAGACTTTGTCTCAAAAGAAAAAAAAAGATTGCCATTTATGAAATAATGCTCATAATTAGCTTTCCCCAAAAGTTTTCAAACTCTGCTCTTCAAGTTTAGTCCCAATTGTTAAACTCCTTTCATCATTTATCTTTCTCTCTCTCTCTTTCTCTCACACATACATATAGAGACATTAAGCTTCTCCTGATAATATTACTTTGTGTCATACACTGTCCTAATAGTTGCCATAAATTTAATCCTCACCATGCTGGTATCCCCCTTTAAGTAACCTGTCCATGTTTATCAGCTAGTAAATGACAGAGCTGCATTGTGAACCCGGACAGTCACATGTTCAGTTCTGGCACAGTGCATGAATACACAAGGTGCTCAACAAATGTTGTTTTGTTGTTGTTGTTTTTTAACAGAGTTTTGTTCTTGTTGCCCAGGCTGGAGTGCTATGGTGCAATCCCAGCTCGTAGCAACCTCCACCTCCCGGGTTCAAGGGATTCTCCTGTCTTAGCCTCCCAAGTAGCTGCGATTACAGGCATACACCACCACACCCAGCTAATTTTGTATTTTTAGCAGAGATGAGGTTTCTCTATGTTGATCAGGCTGGTCTTGAACTCTCAACCTCAGGCAATGTGCCCACCTCAGCCTCCCAGAGTGCTAAGATTACAGGTGTGAGCCACCACACCCGGCCGCATCTCCCTTCTTAACTTTTCCTACCCATCATCTCCATTTACACACGTTAATGAACACCATCCCTGCCATGGCCACTAGATGTCAGAATAAGGCACTCCATGCAGCTCTGATGTTCAAGATCTGCTACTGGATAAAGATCTCAGTAAATGCTTAGACGTTTTAAAAGGCAAATAGTCACACACAAACCAAGAAGCTGGATATAAGCAGAACTGCTTGATCCAAGGAAAAAGGGTGACTGTATATTTTAATCAAAGTCCATTTTTAAAATCACAAAATATTAAAGAAATAGAATTTCTTGTAGAAATTGAAATGGCAGTGTTCTATGTGTATTTGGGAGAATGTAACCAGAGAGACTCAGCCTAGATGTAGAAGAGGAGAACAAAGCATAAGGAACTCAGAAGTAACAAGGGCTTTGGGTCCTAAGTTGAAGAACTGGGGTTCCAGCCAAATTCACCTAAAGCTCTGGTAGATAAGACAACCCAGCCACAAAGTCTAGGGTCATCTTCAAGAGTTTACTAAGTACCATATGTAAAGTAATTCTTTTTGCATTTATATTTTGTGTGTTAGAGACTACTTGTACTCCTGAGGTGTATTCTATTCTACATCTACAATTATAGGACAAACATCTGGGTGCATAACCCACTAACTAAAGTCTATACTTCCCAGACTCCTTTGCACACAGGTGTGGCCAGGGGACTAGGTAATGATCAATAGAATGTGAAAAGAAACAATATACACAACTTACAGATAGTGCTCATAAAAAGAAAGAGGTTGTTTTCTCTTTCCCCTTTTCTCTCCCTACTGTCTAGAATACAAATATGGTGTATTTTATGGTGAATGTGGCAGGACCACAAACTGAAACTCTTGGTCCCTATCACCCTAGAGCTGCCATATCAATCCTGAACTGCTTATGTTCAAGTAAGTTATAGGAAAGAGAAATTACTTTCTATCATATTGAAGTTTCTGTTATTTTAGCCTCTGTCAGAGAAGCTGAACGAGCATTCTAATTAATATCCTTATAAAGTCATATCAAATTCATGATTACATTATGACTGTACCATCATTCTTATGAAGTACATTAAACAAAATGTTTCTCTTCATTTCACAAATGGGAAAACTGATCAAGACCACTGTATTTGTCTGTTTTCATACTTCTATAAAGAAACTGTCTGAGACTGGGTCATTTATAAAGGAAAGAAGTTTAATTGACTTACAATGCAGCATGGCTGGGGAGGCCTCTGGAAAATCACATCTTAAATTACAATCCCCTTAATCCTTATGTGTCAAAGGAGAGACCAGGTGAACGTAATTGGATCATGGGAGGGTTTCCCTCATGCTGTTTTCCTGATAGTGAGTGCGTTTTCAGAAGATCTGATGGTTTTATAAGTGTTTGGTGGTTCCTCCTGCCTTCATTTTCCTTCCTGCCACCTTGTGAAGAAGGTACCCTGCTTCCCCTTTGCCTTCTGCCGTGATTGTAACTTTTCTTATGGGCTAATTACCTCTTGGAAACTTGAGACTGTATCCACCTTGAGTCAATCCCAGAATCCTAGAACAAGAGGTCCTTCTACCTTTCCATTATTCCACTGCTTTGTCCCGTAAAGTGAAAGGGAATGTACCCACCCTCAGGCTAAGTTCCACGTTCTCTCCTCCATAGGTGAGCATTCCACCATCCAGAGACCCGATCTCTCCCAGGAAGAGCCTGTTAGCAGCCAGGATGCCCATGACTGAAGGACTCCTACAGAGCACACAGCGAGAGTCACTGATCTCTCCACAAGGAACGGAGGCGAGCGGTGGGATGCTCAATGATTATTTGAGCTTTGGAACTCTCCCTAAGTCTGTTCTTATCATGAAGGCCCTCCCTAAACCCTCAGGCTGGACTAAGTGCATGTAGCTTTCCCTGGCCCACTGTGTTACCATAACCCTTCTCAAAATATATTGAAATTACATCTTTTTCATCTAGATATCCTTACTTCATAGCCTGCTAATGCTTGCAATGGCCCAAATGCTTTCCAAAATTTGAAATTTTGGAAAATTTTCATTTAAAAATAACTAAAAGAATTTTAAATTTTGGAAAGCATTTGAGCCAAGCATTAGCAGGCTATGAAGGCTTGATTTTTGCCTGAAAGTCCCTAAATAGCCCAACGTGTCTGTGATTTCTTAACTGGGATAACTCATTGGGGGTTTTTCCCTCTATCGCTTGTCCTTTACCTCAACCCCTCCCTTCCTTCCACGTCACCCCAATTACTACCTCCAAAGATAAACACAATCCATGCAGTTCATCCCTGCCTTCCCAGGTGCTACCCACGTTCCCTGAACCTGCTCGGACTTACTTCACTGGGGCAGTGACATCGTGCAGATCAATCCAGGCTTGTGGCAGTGCATCGTAGCGACACCAGAGTTCCCAGTTAAACCCATCAACTGCCAGTTGATACTTATCCAGTTCAAAGGTGTCAAAATGAATGTTGTCAAACACAGGAGACACAATCACGGTGTGGTCTTCCTGAATCCGAGCCAAGATTGGCTCTGCCCTAGAAGAAGAGCGTGCAGCAAGCTGCTCCAAGCACCTTGCCGTAACCTTGAGCACCTCCTCCATTTGGGCTGTGCTAGGTTGTGAGTAGAACTCTCCAGAGTCCAGAGCATCTCTGGACCTTTTGAGGTAGCCGAGGCTGCTAGCAGCCAAACCGTGTCAAGAACAGGTTTAAAATTAGTACCCAAGGAGCACCCCCAGGCCATTGTGAAGCAGGATTATCAGTATTTATATTACTCCGTGAATTTATGTTATCTCTTGGTTCTCCCTGTTTCCAAAATGATGCTTCTTTCCTGTCTGATTCTCCACAGTCTCTAAAGAACATAGCTCTCTTTATTATATCGTGTCATTTCAGGGCTGCGGAAAAATCTTTAAAATAAACAAAGGCTAATCTCTTCATCTTTACAGTTAAAGATACAATGTCTAGTTAAGTGAAATGACTTATTCAAATTCACAAAGTATTTGACAAAGTCAGAGTTATGATCCAACTGTTAACACTCTCCACCACGCTACTTCTCCTAGCCAAGCAAAATGCCTGCATAAAAGCATGCTCTTTTGGAGTTTCCCTCTGTTTAAGGTCTGGTGCTGACTTTCCCTATGTCCACAGTATCCTGTCTTGTGTTTAATATGTGCCCAAGACCTCCTCTCTGCCCTTTCCAGCAGAATCAGCCTCCTTGAGCCTTACCATCCAACATTGACTTCAATGTGAGCATCCAAGATGGCGACCACGTCTGCTGTGGCAGCTTCCCAGCCACTGTTGCGGGCTTGAGCAAGACCTTTCCTCTCAGGGTGCCGTATTATTTTCAGTAGTCCCGGATGCTTCTGGTTGTAAAGTTTAATCTTCTCATTCAAGTGTACCTTTAGTTCTCCTGTCAACCAAGTGCACACCTGTAAAAATCCTGAGTGCAATAATCAATGTGATACAGAAGTTTTATACTATTCTATAATAGTGGCTGGATTACCTCCAGCATAAAATGGGCAATTCGAAGAGTCAACTAGAATAGTAGTATTTCCCCTGTGCCTGCCTCTCTTCTCCCTTTCACCGGAAGTGTACTGTGATCATTCCTAATTTCCTTTCCCTCACAGTTAAACCATCTTAGAATGATAATCCTGCTTACCACGCGTCAGGCACTGTCACAGGTGTTTTTTTAACACTGAGAAGTTCTTGAGAGAATGAGTAGGACAGACAGAGGCTGATGGAAAACACTGCAGGAAGGCCTGGCACATCTTCATAACTAAACTCTCAAGACTTTCTGGAAAATCCATAAATGACTAAAATTGTTTTGTTTTAGATATTCCCAGTTGGCCTACTTAAGGACCAACTGGGACAGAATGCACAGATTAATCTCTTTGCCAGCTTCTAGCTGGTGAATTTAGCTCAAAAATTATGCAGACAAGATTCACTATTCCTGGACTGTTCACAGGTGGTTTTCTTCCCTCTCTTCCCTCTCTTTTAATAAACCTTGTCTATGGCTTTGCTCTTTGGCTCAGCCTACCGCTGACTTCCTCACGTGTAAGAAAACAACCTGAATGCCAATCACTGAGTGGCATGCAAAATATCTAGCCAAATGACTCTGAGTTACTCATTGATAAAATCCATTAATTTAATTCTGAAAGAATCTCATGTGGTAGGCACTACAATATCCCCACTGTACAGATGAAGAAACTAAGGCACAAAGAGTTTTTAAAACTTTTTTGAGTCACATATCTAGTAAGTGGCATACCCTGGACATGAGCCTATGCTGTCTTTAGCCACCAGGACACATTGTCTCAAGAATTCTGTGAGTACCTGGTTGGGTTTATCAAGTCCTCCCTCCATCTCCTCTCTCCCCATAGAATCTCATAGTCAAGGAATGAGATTCTTGCTGGCTCCTCTCTCAAAAGAAGAGCATATTTGTGAGACCTACAGTGGTTAAGACAGAATCATCACCTATGTGACGATGGCAGTAAAACTTGCCCCATTTTAGATCTGCTGCACTCAAGAGTGATTGTCTCAATTATTGAAGGTGCTAAACAGAGCCACTACGTCTAAGGCTGTTTGCTTCCTCTGGGGGTAAGCTGGGGGTAGCCAAGGTGGCCAGTCTGTATACCTACCCAGGCACTACTTTTACTCGGTAGTCCACAGGAGGTGCCACCGAACCTGAATATCTAGATTCTAATTTGGTCACTACATAATTCTGTGTCACTTCCCATTAGATGTGTCTGTTTTCTCAACTTAAAAAAAAGTACCACGGTTCTCCAGGGCTCTGGCAATCTTCTGCCTTGGCCTCCCAAAGTGCTGGAATTACAGGCATGTAATTCCAGCACTTTGGGAGGCCAAGGCAGAGGATTGCCGGAGCCCAAGAGATTGAGACCAGCCTGGGCAACAGAGTAAAACTCTAACTCTTTTTTAGAAAATAAAAAATTAAAAAAAAATATATATATAAATATTCATAAATATATATATAAATATTATATATATAAATATATATATAATATATATATTAAATATACAATCAAGAAAAGTACCAGATATTCAGGACCCTTCCAACTCTAAATTTTTATGACTGTAGATTCTGAGTCACCTCCTGAGAAACAGTGCCTATCATATAGCACAAAAATTAAGGATGCCTCAATGGGTCTTCTGAAGACAACCTATGCTCCATTCCCAGCTTTGCCTTCCTGCTGGTCTCTTCCCCAAACCTGTTACTTCAAGCTGGTCAGCTCAGGGTGCTTCTGGATTCCTCATTTTTGTTCACATCATCTTTCTGCACTCCTTAGTTCTCTACCCCAACCCAGTTTCTGAGTCTTCCTTCATTTCCTCTGCTGTCTCAAATCCTGTGAAGCCTTCAAGTCCCAATGCAAGCCCATCTCCTCCAGAAAGCCTCCTTAGATCATCACACCCTACTCTCTGTGCCTTCTGATGCTCACTGACAGTTCACTTGGTTTGTCACATTATTCTCCACACATTGATGTATCTTTCCACAGACTGTCTTGCCTCATCAATTAAGATGGAAACTTCTTGAACTCTCTGACATCCCCTTCCCTGCCCAGTGCCTGGCACATGGTAGAAACTCAACATGTAGTTGTTGATTGTGTAATTTTCCTAAAATTAGGGAGAAAGTACAGCATTCCACCTGCCTTGATATAATTTATAAAAAGCTTAGATCTCATCTAACATTTGAGTGGCATTTAACATTTGAGCTCAAAATATTTGAGTGATGTGAATAAAGCTTAACATCTAGGGAAAGACAGGAAAGAGGCAAATCTCTGGCGGCAGACTGTGGCATTTCAAGAGTACTACAAATAATACTGAGATAGGCGATAGGCGAGCAGAACACTAGCTAGCATGTAATGGGAACAGGCTCCCTCCTGAGCCCTTTACACACATGGTTTAATCCCAGAAGTGGTCCTACCAGGTAGACACCATTATTTCCTGATGTTACAGATGCAGAAACTGAGGTGTGAAGTGGTTGAGTCACTTGCCCCCAAATTCACATGGTGACATGCATAGTAGAGAGTTCCATTTATTTTCCTGTTTAACACAAAACAGATATTTGAGTTGTGCTCAGTGTAGGCCCAATTTGGCTGGTGTTTTCCTGGTTAATGAGAGAGACTCTCTAATTCCTGTCCCTGTAACACTGGAGAATGGCAGACAGTCCCCTCTTCTGTGACCATCCGAACAAATCATCTCTGTGGAAAACGAAAAAGGGTTTCAGACCCAAAGAATGTGTTAATAGAGTGCAATTTAGAACAATAAGAAAGCTTTGGTTTTTCTTTATGTGTCTACCCTGTGTTTGTAATCTCGTATTTTTTTATTTTATTGTTCCACAGGAAAAAGTCCTAAATTAAGTCTTATCTACACCTCATCAACATAGAGGTATAAGCTGATTGATTTTTTTTTTTTTTTGCAGAAAAATATATCTTTCACAGTATTCCAGCTCAACTCTTGCATTTGCCTCATGAAGACCCTGAGTTCCAAAGAGGTGAGGGGACTTGCCTAAGGTTATCTCTGCCAGGGAGCAGAGCCAGTGTCTTCAGAAGCCCAGGGCAGAGGTCTTTCTAATCAAGCTCCTATTTTTGGCTCAGAAAACCAGGTGTGCAACTTGCAATCTCCATGCCCAGAAATGAATGAAATCTGTCTCTTTTCTCTGGTTTTCAGTGGAATTTTACTCTAAGAATTGTACTTTTTTATTTTTTGTTTAGTTACATTGGAAGTACAAGAGAGGAAGGTATGCGAAGGGTGAAGTATTTTTAGTGTGGAAGTCTAAAAAGGAAAGTTTAAGCAATCATTTTGTTTGCTCTCTCTCCTGAGAGACAGGTTGAAGGTACAATAACCTATCTTGTACTTATAGCTCCCCAGAGAAGGAACATAATCTGCCTCCAAGGAGCTGCCACTTCATAGCCCTTATAGTCAGAAACTTTTTCCTTACTGCTAGCCCAAACCTCTAAGTTTTCGTAACTTAACTCTGCTCTCTTATTTGTTGCACAAAACCAATAAAACTAAGAGTCAACACTTGCTGAGAGGCTACCATGTGCTAAATGCTAAATGCTTTACATAACTCATGTTTTTGTTTTTGTTTGAGACAGTCTCGTGCTGTCACCCAGGCTGGAGTGTGCTCAAGGCTCACTGCAACCTCTGCCTCTTGGGTTAAAGCGATTTTCCTGCCTCAGCCTCCCGAGTAGCTGGGATTACAGGTGCACAGCACCACACCTGGCTAATTTTTATATTTTTAGTAGAGACGGGGTTTCACCATGTTGGTCGGACCAGTCTCAAACCTCGTGATCCACCTGCCTCAGCCTCCCAAAGTGCTGGATTACAGGCGTAAGCCACTGCGTCCCGCCCATAATTCATGTATTATAAAAGGAACGTAGTGATTAGAACTAGGGCTCAGGACTCTGAAGTTTATGGTCAAATCTCAATTCTGTCACTTACCATCTGCGGGATACTGAACGAGTTCCTTGATCAGTCCATGCCTTAGTTTTGTGCATCTGTATAAGGGGTCAAAATGTGGTTCCTTCCTCTTAGGGTTGTCATAATGATTAAAATAGTTAACACATGTAAGGTGCTTAAAACAAGCAATGTTAGCTGCCATGATTATCTCATTTAATTCTCACTTTAGTTCATAAAACAGTTATTATCAACATTTATATTTTGTGTATAAGAAAACCAGAGCATGAAGATGTTGAGTTACCCAAGGACATAACACTTACAAAGGAGAAGCTGGGATTATGAACTCAGAAAGTGAGGACTCAGGTCCACCGTCTCCCACATCTCTTCCTTGGGTGGGCTAGACTCAGGGCAGGGGGCACCCTGTGGGCAAGAGCTGTTGCCACTTTGAAGAGCCAGCACCCAAAACTCTCTTTTCTCCAGGCTCAGTGATACAGGAAGAATGGTCTATTCCTCATAAGGAGCAACTCTAGGTCCCTTCTTGACATCTAGGATCCTCCTCTAGACTCTATTTCACCTCACAGTCTCCTTCGTGGTGACTGGGAGGGACACAGGTAGATTTGGAGGCACAGAGTCCTGGCCTAACTCCCAGCTCTGCCACAGGCTTGCAGTCCAATTTAAGCACACTGTGTGATCTCTCAAAGTCTTAGTTTCCTCATCTGTGTAACTGAGATAACTATCCTCTGTCTTGACTTTGTGAAGATTCAATGTGGCTAGCACAAACAGACCCTCAACTAATGATCTTTTTCTTTTCCCTACAAGAGAGACCCAAGGTGTCCTAAACTCTAAACCAAACCTCTTTCTGGCCAAGCACAGATGACAAGTGATGACTTTGACAATTATTCTTTCTCACGTTGCTCACCATTTGAGCTGAAATCATCCACCAAGATTATTTCCTTCAACAATCGAGATGGTGTCCGGTTGATAACACTGGTGATGGCCCTTTGTATAACGGACAGAGCTTCATCCATGAATATAAGAATGACACTGAGAGATGGGAGTTGGGACGGATACGTCTTCTGAAGACACCTATAAGAAATCATTTTTATGACCATATTTTTTAAATTACAGAAACACAGCTCTCCAATCTTCCCCTTCACTCTGTGTGATGTTACATTAACCAATTCATCCACCTCTCAAATTCATCGGAAAGCAAAACGCTTAGTTGCTTATCACAGTAGCAAGATTTCATATTCATTCATGCAAAATTTTTCTGCTATGAGGATAAACCATCTTGTATTAATCTTTGCTAGATGTTTCCATTTGAATATTCAACACACTTCATAAGGAATTCCCATTCCTCTTCCACGCCCGGATTAGTTTCCTTGCTGGCAGCTTTCTTCCTGGCATTGCCACAGCCCTTTCCCGTGTTCTCAGACCCCAGTCACCTTTGACACAACCACCTACTTCACCACCAGAGACAGGTGGCAAACTGCTCAGAGAATTGTGCTTAACACCTTTTTAAAAATCCTAGCCTACATTTATTAAATGCTTACCATATGCTAGGCACTGGTTTACCCATTTTATAGATTTATTGGGGTTTGATATACAAACACTGCACATATGCAAGCACCCACAACACCATTATAAAGGTAATAAACTTACCTATCAGCTCCAAAAGTTTTCTTCTATATCTTTGCCCATTTTTAATTTATTATTGAATTTTATAAGCACTGTTAATATATTTTACATTTCTTATCAGACATAGGGTTTGAAAATATTCTCTCCCACTCCATGGGTGGTCTTTTCACTTTCTTGATGGTATTATTTGCAGCAAAAACAAAGTTAGTTTTGATAAAGTTCAACTTTTCAATTTTGTTTCACTTAGGCTTTTGGTGTCATATCTAAGAAACTCTTGCCAACCCACTCTCTCTCAAGATGTGCTGGTTTTTTGTTTTGGTTTTTGTTTTGCTCAGAGTTTTATAGTTTTACCTCTTATATTTACAGCTATGACCACTTTGTGTTAATATTGGTGTATGGTGTGAAGAGGGATCCAACTTCATTATTGTTCATCTAGATATCCACTTGTTCCTGCACCATTTGTTGAAGAGACTGTTCTCTCTCCCACTGCATTGTCTTGGCACCCTTGTCAACAATCACTTGACTGTAACTTTAAGTGTATATTTCTTTTTCCCTATGTAAGAGGGTTCAGGGAGCTAAATGTTGGGTGTTTTCCTTTCACCATGTAGAAAGCTAAAGCAGGCTGGAGTTGAATATTCCCCTTCTCCCAGGTAGGTTAGTGTCTTAGTCCATTTTGCACAGCTTTAACAGTATACCTGAGACTGGGTAACTTGTAATGAACAGGAATTTATTGGCTCATGGTTCTTGAGGCTAGTAAGTACAGTAATAAAAATGAGGAGTTTGACTTTCATTTTCTGCTGTGGCTTTTAAGGAGCTTAGAAGTCCCCACTCTATCCTAATAACAAGTAAAAAGCTGAAAACATGGAAGAATAAACTCTTCTCAGGTCTCTTAGAGAAGTGACATTGCAGGGCAAACTGCTCGCCCCAGAACTGGACAGACAGGTAGGTGGATACAGAGACTCATAACTTTACCACGGCAGAAGCTATGGGAATCAGTGCTAGGACAGTAAAACCTGAACTGAAAATCGATGAACTGAGGATGAGTCTGAGAATTAAACACTCCAAGGAGACCCAGTCACAGGAGCTGCTACATTTGTGTACATTTTACCTCCAGGACCTGTACCAGATCGTCACAGACCCACTAGGATGGGTTTATTTAAAAAGAAAAATAATAACAAGGCCAGTGCAGTGACTCACGTCTGTAATCCCAGCACTTTGGGAGGCCAAGGCAGGTGGATCACGAGGTCAGGAGTTCGAGGCCAGCCTGGTCAATATGGTGAAACCCCATCTCTACTAAAAATAAAATGAATTAGCTGGGCATGGTGGTACATGCCTGTAGTCCCAGCGACTTGGGAGGCTGAGGCAGAAGAATTGCTTGAACCCAGGAGGCAGAGGTTACAGTGAGCCGAGATCACACCACTGCCCTCCAGCCTGGGTGACAGAGCAAGACACTGCCTCAAAATAAGTAAATAAATACACACATACATGCATACGTACATACAAATGTCAGTGAATATGTGGAAAAATCAGAATGCTCATATACTGCTTGAGGGAATGTTAAATGATGAAATCACTTTGGAAAACCACCTGGGAGTTCTTTGAAAGGCTAAATACAGAATTATCATATGGCCCAGCAATTCCACCCATAGGGTATACCTACAAGAAATGAAGACATTTGTTCACACAAAAACTTATATATGCACGAGTGTTCATAGCAGTTTTCATAGCGGTCAAAAAGTGGATATAATTCAAATGTTCATTGCCTGATAGGAAATGTGGCATAATCCAAGCAACGAAATATTACTTGACAATAAAAAGGAAAAATGTGAATGATACCTGAAAGCACTGTGATAAGTTAAAAGCATTAGTCACAAAAGACCCCATATTATATGATTCCATTAATACAAAAGTTCCAGAATAAACAAATCCATAGGGATAGAAAGTAGATTAGCGGTGGTTGCCTAGGGATGAGGAAGTTATGGGCAAATGGGGAGGGCCTGCTAATGCAGTTTCTTTCTAAAGTCATGAAAATGTTTTAAAATTGATTGTGGGAATGGTGAACAACTCTGTGAATATACTGAAAGCCATTAAATTGTATTGTACACTTTAAATGGATACCTTGCATGGTATGTGAATTATATCTCAACAAAGCTGTTTCTAAAAAGGAATTACCAAGGATGGTGGGAGAGAAGGAGAAAAACAATAGGAAAGGGAAACTGAAGAAGGAGGAGAGGAGCTGCTCTTCAAATTAGATTTAGCAGCAAAGAGGAATCCAAGTAGAGAATCTGAGCAAAGTCCTAGGGAAGGAGGTATTGCTGCTGGCTTTGGTGTGACTTGCACAAATCCCTTCTCCGCTTGTTTCCTCATCTGTAAAATTATCAGTTAGACCCATCATATCTCTGTTTCTCTGGATCAGAGTTGCAAAGGACCTCTGCTTCTCTGACATTTCTGTTCTTTCCCAAGGGTCTGTAAATATTTGGATCAGTCGGTTACCTTCTCCGAGCTGTCATTATAAAATGAATTAAAAACCAGAACTTTGCTCAGCCACGACCCCTTCCCAGCAATCCCTCACTCCCCCAGCCTTCAATGTTCACTGCTCCTGAAGCTCATCCTCAAATCAAACTGAGGTCCCTGAAAGCCCACTCCTGGTTCCTCACCTGTCGTCTCGAGTGTCGGGGATGGTGCGATTGAGAGGCAGCTGGTTGCTGAGGTACACGTTGTAACCAAACCTCTGGAAAAGGTCCTGGGCCTTTATCTGCTGGGCCTCAGAAAGATCCTCACCCCACTGCCTGAAAAGCTGTGAGTGTGGGAAGAGTTTCACTTGGGTTTTGTGCTTCTCTGTCTTATTCGCCGTGGCTTCCACTGCCTTTAGAACAGGTTGTACTTCATCTTTCGCCCTCTTCAGTGTGGTGTTCACATTTTCCTGTTGCCTCAGAGCCAATTTCACACTTTCTTCTGCAAATGAAGAGGATGGGGGAGAGGAAACATGTCAGCCCCTCGTCAGTTACCTGGGCATTCCTTTCCATCCTAATTTCCTTCAAATGGTTTACTCCCTACATCTTAAAATTCACAAGCTCTTGTCTCAGAGGATGTAATATATCAGGGAACTTGTCCAGCCTGCAAGGCTGTCCCAGCAAAGTGCGTACTAGATATATCTCTCCCTTTAGCTTCATCAAAACTCCTCCATCCCACAGCTTCAAAGCTCCTCGAAAAACTGACTCACTATGATCTGAGAAACAGGTGGAAAATCAGCTAATATTTTTCAGAATGAGGACTGAGAACCACTTACATCGAATCATCCGTTGTGATTTTTTAAAAATGTGGATACCCAGGCTAATCTCCAAATCCACTAAATCAGACTCTGAGAGTCACGTGGGAATGCAGACAGGAGAAATTACAAGAATCTGCTTTTTGGTCAGGCGCGGTGGCTCACGCCTGTAATCCCAGCACTTGGGGAGGCCAAGGCAGGCGTATCACGAGGTCAAGAGATCAAGACCATCCTAGCCAACATGGTGAAACCCCGTCTCTACTAAAACTACAAAAAATTAGCCAGGCGTGGTGGTGCGCACCTGTAGTCCCAGCTACTCGGGAGGCTGAGGCAGAAGAATTGCTTGAAACAGGAAAATGGAAGTTGCAGTGAGCCGGGATCGCACCACTGCACTCCAGCCTGGCGATAGAGCGAGACTCTGTCTCAAAAAAAAAAAAAAAAAGAATCTGCTTTTTAATAAAACCAAAGAGTAATTCTTTTTATAGTAAAATTTAAGAAACACTTAACTACACTCTTGGTGTCTAACAAAGGCAAATCTGCTCTAACCACTACCACCATCATCCACCCATGCCCTGGCTTCTCATGTGTTTGACTTATGAGGAACTTTAAAATTGGAGCTGTGCTAGTCTTGCAATTTCCAACCTGCATGATCATAAGAATGTCCTCAAAAGCTTGTTAAAACTACAGAATCCCAAGCCTTCCCTGTAGATTCTGACTTGGTTCTAGGGTAGAGCCTGAGAATCTGTATTTGTAACAATTGCTCCAGATAAATCTAATTGTCACATTAATTTGAGGAACACCGCTTAACACAAAAGAATGAACAAATAGTGATGGACCCAGGCAGAGGACGTTTTACGCAGAAGACATCCTCCAGGATCCATGACATCATCTATTATTTACCTCACCTTTCTTCCCAGTAAGATTTGTACTGGAGTGTCTTAGCATATGCACCTTGAACTCCCTCAAGCTCAGTCTGTGAACTCAGTAAAAAGTGAGAGAGAAAGTAACCATTTAAATGTTTAGTGATTATGACATTCTTCGGCACCAAATCCCACAATGGTGATCAAGGAATTCTGACATGACTTTGTTCCTGCTCATCTTCCCCTAAACCCACACTAAACTTCAGCCAGACGGACAGGATCAACTTCAGTCGGTCCAGCATCTTTCTACAAGCTAGAAGAAGGCATTCTTCTTTTCTGGATGATTGCAACTCAAGGTCACCAGCTTGGTGAGGGGACAGCCCCATTATGTGAATTTTTTCTGGGGAGACGCAGCTCATGCCGTAGCACATGGCTTGGCAAGCAGAATGTGGGCTGGATTTCAGATCCATATACGGCCCCCAAGAGGGAAGCAGGTTAAGTCCTATAACTGGGAGGAGAACATGTTTGTAAAGTGACGTAAGATTGGCCCAAAAAGAAGGAAAAGGAGAAAGAGAATCAACTCTTGAAGAGGTTATGACAAAAAAAGGAGAGTCAAAAAACTTGGGCAACAAGTAAATGGTAGGTCTGTCAAAGGAGGCTCACGTGAACACCATGCACATTTGCTCGGGTAGAAAAAAGAAGCGAGAGCATACTGTTTACAGTGTCCCAGATGAAATAGTACTGACATTCATACTTTTCTGTCCTAAGCACACAGGGGTCACAGGGTGGTAGTGGGTTCTTCCCACCTCTAAGCTCCTCTGCATTCCTCCTTGGGGGATATCTGATTTTCTCTTTCACTCATGGCTGTCAGTAGGAGCTGGTTTGGACCTGGACATCCTAAAGTCAATTTGAGGAAACGCATAATCTGGTAGTATGAATACAGTGTCACTAAGACACCCCCGTAACTTACACTGAAACCTTCCAAGCCCCAGAAGGGATGTACCCAATGACACTGCCCTGATGGGGCTTTTATGAACCCTGGGAGAGGTTCCAGAACACTGGCCTAGAGTCATTGATCCCTCCCTCAATAGGGATATAATTATTATTGTTTGCTTTTGCTCTGGATAGCTTGCATGATTCAACCAAGCATCTTTATTGACTTATGATTTTCTTTAATCTTCCTGGAATCCTGGAGGCAATGAGCAAACAGGAAGAAGGGTAGTTAAACAGGCTTTAGCTGCAGGAAGCTCTGTGGGAAAAAAGAGCACTGGGGATCCAGAAACAAGGCCTAGAAGACTTTTTGTGGTTTATCTCAGGCAGTAGTGAGTCTCGGACCTCACGCCATTGCGAATAAAATGTGGGAGCACCAAGAATAACAAGAAAAGTCTTTGCAAAGAAGGAAAGAGAACTAAACCAGATGGCTCTGGCTGGCTCCTGGTGGCACGCTGTGTCCTAGCTGAAGGAAAGAACAGCGGGGCTGCGGGTAGAACTCCTGCCCTTTTACGGCTTGAGGAGGTTAGGCCAATCTCATAAGCCTTGGGAAAGGGTGAGAGTCCCGGTGTGGTCTGGTGCTCTGCCCAGTAGTGAGGGTGGTGCTGGGGTTGCCACCCTAGGTACACAGGCATTCTCCTGGTGACGCTGCACCAAGCATATCTGCATGGGCAACGTCCAACCCCCCCAGGTAAGCCAGGGCTTACAGAGCTGACAATCCTGTTTCCTCTGCTCTCTTGCCCGGTATCACTCTCCCCGTCATCCCTGTCTGCCCGTCTTTTTCCCTCTCTCTCCTAGACCCACCCATTCATTTCTTCATCTGTGTAACCTCTATGTGTGAATAGAAGTGAGTAGTGAATGAGACGCTCACAATAAAATATGATGAAGCTTATGGAGGAGGATGTAGAAGGTGCCATGGGTGCATTAGGCCTCCTCCTCTCTCCTTTTACTCTCTCCTCTCCCGTGACACTTTCCCGTTTTTAATTCTTGTCTCCATACAGACTCTTTCACTCGCGTTCCCTGGATTCTCTGACTTCTCGGCTCCTTTCCTGTCCTGGCTCTTTTCTCCTCTCTCATCTCCCGTCTCGCTTTCCCCGCTCATTCCCTGATTGCTTCTCGTTCGCTTGTTCTCTTCTCGCCTTTCCTTCCACCCATCTCCCAGCCTCACCCTGAACCCTGACCATGCTCAGTTCTCATTTTAAAAGGCACTTTCCCCAACTCGGCCCTATGTGCAGACACATCCCTGCTCACACATAAAACACCTCCCCATGGGGTTCCAGTGTTTGATCCCTGTCACCTGGGGAGCAGGGGGAGATTGCTGCTTCCCTTGTTTGAGTTGGATGTGCAGGCAAATAAATTCAGAGGCGTTAGAGTTCCATGGCACACCGGAATCACAAACCAAGCCCAGAATTTGTTGAACTCTTACCCTTAACTTTAAATGAAGAGGTTAGAATTTGGCACTAGCAGTTTACAGATCACCTTCTGCATATATTTCACCACCTGTTAGGTCAGGTTGGTAACTATCATCACTGTTGCCATCACCTCCATTTACAGACCAGGAACCTGAGGCTCAGAGAGATAAGCACTTGCTCAAAGTCACACAGCCACAGTGGCATATCAGGATTCGATCTTAGGTCCTCTAACAAAGTCCTCATTAGTTCACGATAGGAACACACAGCAAAATGGAAGTGAGATTGCCACCTCTCTTTAACAGCCCCTACCACACGTAAGCCTAAGGTCAGCCTGTGTTAGACATTCCTAAGGCTCTTGGGATGCTTATTCTATGTCTTTGCCTGCATATATGTATACATATGCAGGCAAAGAGACAGAATGTGCATGATGAGTACAAGCCCACACATGCTTACACACAGGCATGCTCACTTCCCCCACACTGCTTGCCCTGATTTCCACTTCTACTCGCCTCATTCTCAATACTCAACTCCCATTTGAAGGCACAGAAATCAATGAGCAACTGAGATGAAAATGTGACCTCTCATCCATTTTTCCCTCCACACCCCTTTTTCCTAAGTGCCCCTAAACACACACATACATACACATGCACACACACACACGTGCGCGCGCACACACACACACACACACACACTCACATACACACACACCCCTTCCAGGTTAGTGCTGAAACTTACTCAGATGCTGCAATTCTACCTCCAAGTGGGAGAGTCTCTTTATCACGGCCACGTGGCGCTCAGACAGAGGTAAAGGAAGCTCCTTGTGGAGACCAGCCATAAACAGGTTTTGTAAAGTCCCCTTGGTAAAAAATACCAGAATGAGATTGACAGCAATGGCCAGAGTCAGCCCAATGCAGAGGGCTTTGGGGAGTTTTCTCCAAAACATCTTCTGCCTGGGGCTTGTCTACTCCCTGTGGGGTTGAGTGCATCACCCCCAGTGCAGGTTAAGACTCAGGACCAGCCTAGCTTTGTCTCCACCCAGCTGCATAAATGACACTCTGCCTGCTAGGCCAGAAGTTCTCCTGCCAGGAACACTATCATAGCTGCCTGGCTTCTCCCTAAGCAGCGTCAGGTGGAGGAGTGTGTGTGGCAGCTGCTCAGCCACACGTAAGTCTCCTGGACACACCTCGTACTGTCTCAGAAGTCAGAGGAATGCTTGCTCCTTCGCCAGCTCAGGCTGTCTGGGTGAGAGGCTTTTCTCTCTCTATATATCCATGTTTGTTTGATTTTTAATGTTTTCTCTCCCTGAAAAAAACACCTGGGAGACTCTGAAAGGGCATGTGAGATCTGGTCCTGTGGGTATAAGAAGGAGGACAAGGATCTAAGATGTCTTTTTACCTAACTCAACACAGCTTTGGACATAATGGTAGGTGTGCAACAAATGCTTGTTCCACAAACCTAAGGAGAGACTTTCTTGCTAGTTCTTGGGACCTCCCTGCCTAGAAGCAGGTGGAGAAGAGCTGGAGGCGGTGCTCAGGGGTTGAGCCTCAGGGGTGACCCTGGTTCACTGGTCTCTGTCATTTGCTTGTCCTCTGCCCAACTTCACACACTGGGCTTCCACTCTGCCCCAGTTTCTAGTAACTCCTTTGCCTCCACACTTCACACTTATAATACATTTTGGACGAATCACCTAATGATCGTTATAGAATAAATACTTAAAATTGTTCCCCAAGGCTGAAAGTTTAAAGTTCTCAGTCTACTGTTAATCCCTTCAAAATCACAGCTTCCACCGTGTCCTGGCTCTTTGGACTATTTACTAGGTCTCAGTCACAAAACATGGTGACATGAGCTGAGGCGGACATGTGGATTAAAGGAAAGAAACGTGGCTTTAGGAAAAACAGGATGAAAATGAACAAAATGAAAAGGAATCAGTTCTTCTGTTTTGCAGGGATAGAAAATGTCTCCCGGTCTCCCACCTGCAAAGTAGACTCAAAACACAGAAAAAATGCATGATGCTTTCTGCTTCTGAGACAAGATGAAATACACACATTTAACTCTGTTCTTTCCCACAAGGGCAAGTGAAAACTCTAAACATTGTATGGAAAAAAAAAAAAAAAAAAACCTAAGAAGACTCTGAAAGGTAGAGAGAAGTGCACAGACTGACTAGAGATCTCCAGATATCCTGGATATTAGGAAATAGATTCCAAGTTGCTGGATGCGGGAGCAGTCAACAACTTGGAAATACCAATGGGCACAGACAATGAAAGCCCCACGGAAAAGCTGCTTTCTCTAACCAAAGAAACAGAAAGTGTTTAGACAACAACTGTCTTAATCCAGCCAAATGCCACTGAAAACCTTGCAGTGCCGTGCCCACGCCATCCACAGGCCACGCAGGGAAGCTAGATTTCCAACCTCACCCCAGCCGTGCTGATGTGCCCCTGTACCCCCCAGCCTCCCCTCCAGGGTGGGGTCAGTGAAGATCTCCCGGGGAGCCAGCATTTTTATCATCGTCCCCACATGATGTCAGTAAAGGAACACTCCCCTTTTCAGCCAGTGCGGCATCAGCAGAGGCCAGTGGGGAACCTGAACTCCCCGCCGTCACCCATCACTAATGAAGCAGCCCTTTCCACCAAGTGTCCGTGGAGGCTAAGCATGGAACCCGGGCTTCCACTCCCACCCGGCAGCAATGAGATGACTTCTCCCTTTCCCCACCGGAGCAGTGTATGAAAGATCTGCTAAAACAGATGTACGTAGGATCCAGAGTCTCATAAAGTTATATTCAGAATGTCCAAGAAGCAATAGAAAATCACTCGTCATATATACAACCAGGAAAATCTCAACCTGGAGAAGAAGAGGCTCTCAGTGGACACCAACACCAGCTGGGCACGGTGGCTCTTGCCTGTAATCACCGCACTTTGGGAGGCTGAGGTAGGAAGATTGTTTGCTCCCAGGAGTTTGAGACCAGCTTGGGCAACATAGTGACACTCTGTTTCTACTAAGAAACATTTAAAAAAAAAAAGGGTTTTCTTTTTTTTAAATTGGGATGGCATGGTGGCTCACACCTGCAATCCCAGCACTTTGGGAGGCTGAGGCAGGCAGATCACTTGAGCCCAGGAGTTCAAGACCAGCTTGAGCAACATGGTAAAATGCCATACTACAAAAAATACAAAAATCAGCCAGACGTGGTGGCACATGCCCGTGGCCCCAGCTACCCAGGATACTAAGTGGGGAAGACAACCTGATCCTAGGAGGTTACAGCTGCAGTGAGCCATGATTGCGCCACTGCACTCTGGCCTGGGCAACAGAGTGAGACTGTTTCTCAAAAACAAAATTAAAACAGATACTAACACCAAGATGACACAGATGCTGGAATTGTCCGACAAGGATTTAAAAGCAGCCAAGTAACATTGCTTCAACAAGTGGTTATGAACATGCTTGAAACAAATGAAAAACAGTAAGTCAGCAAGGAAAGCAAATGTTTCAGCAAAGATATAGAAACCTCAGGAAAGAAATTGAAGATATAAAAAAATTACCAAATGGAAATTTTAGAAATGAAAAATACAATAAACCAAATTTAAAGATCACTGGGTGAGCCTCAACTGTAGAATGACAAGGACAGAGCGAAGAATCAATGAGCTTGAAGATGGAACAACAGAAAATGCTCAATCTGAACAACAGAGAGAAAATAGATGAAAAAAATAATAAACCTCAAAGACCAGAGAGATTACAACAACCAATCTAACATTCATGTCATTGGAGCCTTAGAAGGAAAAGAGAAAGTGTGGGGCTAAACAAGAAGGTACAGAAATAAGGTCTGGCTGGGCATGATGGCTCATGCCTGTGACCCCAGCACTTTGGGAAGCTGAGGCAGGTGGATCACCTAAGGTCAGGAGTTCGAGACAAGCCTGAGCAACATGGTGAAACCGTCTCTACTAAAAATACAAAAAATCAGGAGAGCGTGGTGGTGTGCACCTGTAATCCTTGTTACTTGAGAGGCTGAGACAGGAGAATCACTTGAACCTGAGAGGTAAAGTCTGCAGTGAGCTGAGATCACGGCACTGCTCTCCAGCGGAACTCGAAAGAAAGAAAGGAAAGGAAGGAAAAAAGAAAGGAAAGACAGAAAGAGAGAGAGAAAAAGAAAGGAGGGAGAGAGGGAGGAAGGAAGAGAAGAAGGAAGGAAGGAAGAAAGGAAGGAAGGAAAAGAAAAGAAATAAGAGCTGAAAATTTCCGAAAGTTGGCAAAAGATAGAAACCTACAGATTCAAGATGCTGAGCAGATCCCAAATAGGACAAAGTCAAAGATATTTATGATCAGCTGATGCTCAGATGCATTATAATCAAACTTCTGAAATCTATAGACAAATAAAAACTCTTGAAAGTAGCAAGAGAAAAATGACACTTATAGGGAAAAAAACAATTCAAATGGTAAGAGTTCTCATCAGAAATTAAGAAGACCTGAGGAAATTATCACAACTTTACAAGAAAAGAATGGTCAACCCTGAATCCTATATCCAACAAAAATACCCTTCAGGAACAAGGAAGAAAGCAAGGCATTCTCCAATAAGAAAAGTAATAGAATTTGTTTCCAGCAGACCTAGCTCAAAAAGATGACCACAGAAACTGTTTAATGACAAAAGAAGGACTCTTGGAACAAGAAAAACAAAAGAAGGGAGTTAAAACCTGAGTAAATACAAAAGACTTTCCTTTTCCTCTTGAGTTTTCTAAATTGTGTTTGGCAACCAAATACTATAACATTGTCTCCTGTGGTCTGAAAATATATGAAGAGATATTTAAGACAACTATACTATCATCTTAAAGAGTAAAATAGGGAGGGCAAATTGGGGACCTAATTAAGGTAAAGTTTCTTCAGTTCACATGAACTGGTAAAATGGCAACACCAATAGACTGTGTTAAGTTATGTATATATGGTGCTGGTGAAATAGTTCTAAAGTATCTTAAGTGACAGTGTTTGCATGTCCACATGTGATAAAATAGCATAGAACTATATACATACGGTATCGATGTCAATTTTCTTGTTTTGCTATGGCACTGTGGTTATATAACTACATATATAATACAGGAGTGTCAGCTTCTTTGCTATTGCTCTAGGTTACATATGCAGTTATATATCTTCCTTCTGGGAATACTAGGTGCCCTGTCATGCATCCAATCACTGCTCAGTTATAAAATTACATATACAGTTATATAAATATAATATAGTCATTGGGAAAAACTTGGTGTAGGAAGAGTAAGAGAACTGCTCTGTACAATTCTTGCAAATTTTGTGAACCTGTAATTATTTCACAATTGTTTTCTTAAAAAAAAAAAGATTCCTACCCTGCATAAATTGACTGTTGACGTAGATCACTTTCTAAAATTACCAACTGTTTATCAGAAACACACACAAAAGTCATGGCTACCTCTAGAGTTGGTAGGGATTGGAGAACTGAGGGCTAGAGGTGGGGAGAGACTGCTTTTCACTGAATAATTTTTAAATATATTCTACATTTTGAGTCATATTACATGAATTATCCATTAAAAATAAATAAAATAATTTGATCAAACATTGCGCCATAATCGGTATCATGTTATTGCTGTCTAGGATAGGTCAAAGTTCACTCAGCTAGACCAGCCAATATGCCTCTGCAGTCTGGTGTGCCCCTCTCCTTCTCCACTAAGAAGTTGATGAGACCCCTCTTTCTGGGAATACTGGGTGCCCTCTCATGCATCCGATCACTGATCAGAACCCTGGGGCAGTAGTCTTCCAAGGTTCACTTCATAAAATTCATAAAATTCACCCGGATGTCCAGGTTCGAAGCCAAAAAATCCTATTCTGTAGGTCATTAGGGGGCCTGGACACCTGCATTTTTAACAAATGCCTCATATGAATAGGTTTACACCTCTGCCCTGAGGGAGCCCACAAATCCATGGGAGAGGGGCTGATTTACGATTAGAGTCAGTGGGCTTACTACCCTGCACGAAGCCCCAACTTGCACCAAGGGTCA